GACCATTTTTGACGGGCCTCCGATAGTTTTTCGCTGAAGAACTCGATGGGCCGATTGTCTTGTGTCAACACAGCGCCAATTCCCACATTTGAGGCATCTGTTTCTACCACAAACGGTTTGTCAAAATCTGGTAATGCCAAAACTGGCGCCGAAGACAGGGACTCCTTGATAGTATCAAAACTCCTCTGTTGTTCCTCTGTCCACCGGAATTGTTTCTACTTCAAAACATCAGTGATCAGAGACATGATGATGCTTAACCCTCGAATAAACCTTCGATAGAAGTTCGCCAACCCGTGGAAACTTCTAATTTCTGTAAAGGACTTTGGATCCGGCCAATTGACTATCGCCTCGACCTTCCTCGGATCGGTGCTAACACCAGCTGCTGAAATCTTGAAACCCAAAAACGAGACTTCTTTACTAACAAATTCACATTTGGAAACATTTAAATAAAGCTTGTTTTGCTGAAGAGCCTCACAAATATTCTTCAGATGTTCCAAATGTTCCGACTGGCTCTTACTAAAGACCAGAATGTCATCGAAATATGCCACGCAACACTTGTTCAGAAAAGGTTTTAGAACCTCATTCATCAACCTCATAAAAGTTGATGGTGCATTGCATAGCCCAAATGGCATGACCCGCCATTCATATAGGCCCTCTCTCGTCTTAAATGCCGTTTTCCACTCATCTCCTAGCCGGATTCTGATTTGGTGGTATCCACTGCGAAGGTCAAGCTTGGAAAATAATTGAGATCCAACCAACCTCTTCATCATTTCATCAATCCGTGGCATTGGGAATCTGAACTTGACAGTAATCTTATTGATAGCTCTGCTATCAATACACATTCGCCAGCTTCCGTCTTTTTTGGGCACAAGGAGCGCCGGGACTGCACAGGGGCTCAAACTATGCTGAATTAATTGTTTCTCTAGGAGCTCATCCACGATTTGTTGCAAGATCTTGTGTTCCGTTGGGCTCATTTTATAGTGTGGAATGTTTGGCAACGTGGCACCTGGATTGAAATCAATCTGATGTTGAACGACTCTCACTGGCGGCAGCTCGGCTGGCAATTCCTTGGTACAGATGTCTGCAAACTGCTGCAGTAGCTGACTGATTTCACCGGGCCATTCAGCTTGTTTTCCCGCAATTGTCTGGTCCTTTACCACCAAGGCTAGCATTTGTAATGACTCTTTCCACGTGCTCAGGAGGGTATTTCTCGGTACTACATGCATTGCAACTCTTTCCTTGGATGATTCAGGTTCTAACTGCTGAGATTCCGGTACCAATCGCAGTCTCTTTCCCTTCCAATCGAAGGTATATGTATTCACCCTTCCATCATACAATGCGCCCACGTCAAACTGCCATGGACGTCCTAGAATGATATGGCAAACATCCATGTCGATCACGTCACATAAAACTTCGCTCGTGTAGTGCTTACCAATAGAGAAAGAGACTCTACACATGTCTGTGACGGACATTTCCAATCCTTTCTTCACCCAACTAATTTTATAAGGATTAGAATTTTTTGTTGTTTTAAGCTGTAAAGATTGAACTACAGCTTTTGAAATGACATTCTCTGTACATCCGCTGTCAATCAGTAAACTGCAAATCTTGCCGCTGATGGTGCACTTGGTCTTGAACAGTGCATTCCTCTGTGAATTACTCGGTTGTCTCGGTGCTAAAAGCAGTTTTTGTAAAACACACACAAGAGGCTCACCTTGATCTCCTTCTACCTCTTCAATTGGGTCTTCATTATCATCATCAGCATCTTCCATGCCAGCTTCGTCTTCCATTTCCATTAACTGCAGCTGACCCCTTGTGGGACATTCGTTGGATTTGTGACCTTGCTGGAAGCATCTGAATCATTTGATAGTCGACGGTTTGGCGTAAGGGTTGTCTCTTGCTAGACCTTTAAATTTATAAGGTGCCTTTGCATCTTCAATTTTATTGGAAGATGTAGGTGGTACATAATTCATAGGAGGGACGGGTGTCTGCCTGTGGATTGCATTAGTTTTAAATTGAATTGCTCTGTTCGAATCACTTACAGGATCTGTGGTCCGTCGATTTTGACTACTCTTTCCATGCCTGGATTGCTGAATCTCCACTTTGAGCGCGTAGTTGACAGCTTGTGACAGAGACCACACGGCATTGAGCTCCAGCTTGTCCTGTATTGACTCTTTCAACCCCCTGATATAACAGGCAACTAACTGGTTCTCCGACTCGCTAAGATTATTCCTGGCACTCAGCCTATAAAATTCTTTTGTGTAATCATTGATGGAACGGTTGCCTTGCACGCAGTGCTGATATTGCATATACAGCATTTGCTCATAATCTGTCGGAAGGAAGTGCCCTCGCAGTAATTGCTTCATCCGGAACCAGCTACGCACTGCTCCTCTTCCCTCTCGGCGTCGGGACTGCATCAATTGTAACCACCATGCGCTTGCTCCCCCCTTTAGCCTGCATGCCACATATTTAACCTGTTTTTCGGGTTCAACCTCCATGTATTCGAAGAAGGTTTCTACTGCCCGCTCCCAATCCAAGTAGTCTTCTATGTGTAACTTGCCATCAAAAAATGGTATGTCCATTTTTACTCTGAACTCACCGTGATGTCTACCCAGCTCCCTCGGTCTCCGTCGACGGTGCATTGCTGTGTCTTCCTCTGAATCCGAAAGATCCAACATCCTGAAATGTTCCAATCCTTCATCCGAATCTGATGCGATTCCCTCCGGCATATTCTGTTGGAGGTTTCGCCTTTCTCCACCTCTCCTCTGGATCGCCGGTATGGTTGCAGGCTGACCCAATCTCGGTTCGAGGCTCCGCTCAAGTAGAGCGCGAATGTCTCTCAGGTCGCGGCGCACTTTGTCCTCAAATCGACGGAATGCCGTCGTGAGTTCCTCCGAATGCTTCATCAGATCAGAGTGTTCCGCCCAAAGGCTTTCCAGGCTTTTTTCTTCCACGGCAGCCACCCGTTTGCTACCTTCCGCCATTGTGGCTCTGATACCAACCTGATGTAGGATCCTGCACAAAATGGGTTCTAGCAGCAAGAAGGAAGTTCAATAGAACAGTAAACTATTTGGTATTAACTTTAAAAAACTATCGGTTCTAGTTTCCTCTCCACCTTAAGTAATTCTTACTCTATTCCAGCTATACTAAAAACAAGACAAGCAAATAAAAAGGCGTCTGAGCACCAACGGCCTAAAGCAGCAAAACAAAATGGAATATTCTAACTAACTGTCAGATTAGGATATGATAGTCCGCAGTCACACTTCCTTAAAGATGCTCTGCATCAAAGAGTAAGAGAGATAGCTTGGATGAGATAATAAAAAAATTAATGAATTAAAAGCATATTACAAAAATCATGGGATTCTAACTCAGTTAAAATAATTCCACTATAGGATTTATTTATTCTGAATATTTTTCCCCATAATTGAGTAAGACCTTGACACATTATTGTGCGATGAACTATGAAAGATGGTTTTTATGGTGTAACTAAGGAAAAATTATTGCGTGCAGTGTTCGGAAATGTCACATCACCAAATGTACAGTGCATTAGATGACGTGGGGCGTCCAGATTCACCTCCGGAAGTGTTCGGACAAGGAAAGATGCTTGAGGTGCCTTTAGATATTAGAGTTTTCACTAAGCAATAATTAGTAGTTTGCTTGATCACTCTCCCTATAAAACGGGGTTACCAACAATCAAGAAGGTGGGCATTGGCCTTGGTAAAGACGATAGACATTTGCAGTGGCGATGTTAGCGATGTCTGCACCAACAGTGATGATGGGCATCAATCTTTTTAGTGAAGATGGACATTGACACTAATATCAATGATAGGCATATGACTTATCATTAAAGACAAGTATTTGCATTAGTGATGATGGCGGGCATCGACATCGGTGTCAACGATGAGCGTTGCCTTTATTGATGATGGTGAGTATTAATGTTGATGTTGATATCATACTTTAACCTTGTTGGTGATAACATGTATTATTCTTGTTAGTATGGAGGGGCTAATGACGAGCGTTGATTATAGTATGCCTTCCTTAAGTTGATTGAAAATAATATGCTCAACAAGCTTCTTAAACTAAGGAGCCTATAATTCTTTAGTATGGCTCTCTACAAATCTAATTTTCCCTTCACCAATAGATTAAGAGCTGGGACATCCTTAATCTCAATGAATACATCAATGATACCATTAGAGGAATGGAAGGACAAGGAAAGATGCTTGATCATTATTTTCATCTTCATCATATGCATCCAGCATCCTCCTCATTACTTTCTTGCATAATTGAAAGGAGAAGAGAGCGAAAATACTTTAAAATATTCACTTCATGAAAGACATCATAAACAATAGGTTGGACGAATTATAAATTCACTTCATGAAAGACACCCTCGACTTGGACCCATTTAGGCTCAGACTGTATCTAATTTGGTGTCGTTGCTTCGTCTTTTCGAGATGTTCAGTTCGACTATAAGTTGTCGAAATCAGAGTTTGAATGGTCCCTCAATTAATCTTAGAGGTTTTCGATTCAACTTTGCCTTGAGATTCGTGCCCGATCTAGATAATTTTTTTATGATAAATCAATTCTAAAAACACATAATTTAATTATAATTTAAAACTTAATTAGAAAATTCTTTCAAAATATATTATAACCCTTTTTAAATATTTTAAATATAAACCTACATTTATTATCAACCAACTGAGGATTTTATACATATTACAAAATTTTTATATTTATTTACGTACTATTTTATTATCTGAATCCTATCAAATTATATATATGAAAATATATGTTCTATTTTAATAAATTAAAATTAATAATATTTTAATATAATTTAAAATTTTGAATATTATATTCATAAAAAAAAATTAGATATTAAATATATAAATACATGATAACTTTATCATTTATGGTATGTATGTAAATCTCTTAATTAAAATTATAACGTAAATAAAAATAGAAACGTTAGAAACAGTTAAAACTTAAAAGCTCAAGCAAAACGGACTTCGGAAACTCCATCCAAATAAAATCAAAACCGAGCCCTTACTTTTAAAATCATCAAAGCCATCAGTCAATTTCCAAATCCGATTCTTCCAGTCAAGTTCTCGGCGAACGGCCGTTGAGTTTAGTGGCGACGAACCACCGCATGGCATCCGCCTTTCCATTGTTTCTGATCGTGCTGTTGGCTAGGGTTTGGTACTTAGACGTCCGGCTAGTGACAGCCCAGCCGTTCGTGGCTGACGGCACTGTGATCGAACTTAATGATTCAAACTTTGAGTCTGCTATCTCCACCTTCGACCACATCCTCGTAGATTTCTACGCCCCCTGGTGCGGTCACTGCAAGAAGCTGTCTCCCGTGGTCAGCATTTTTCACTTTTGTTGGCTCTTTTTTCTGTATTTTTTTTTTAAATCTGAAGATCTAACATTGTTTAGTTATTTATTTCATCTACGGGATCTTTTGTTCTAATTTCCGTTGTAGGTTTGTTGTTTCAAGATAGGATCCTGGTTGCGATTTTTTCTTTTTCTCCTAATTGGATTTGCACGTGAATGGCCAAAATTTGAGGAAAAAGATAACTTATTCTATTATTTGAAAGCTGAGACGAAAATGCAAACATAAAAATTGAAGGTGCAAACTCTGCAGTTAGTTGCTTAGTTTGTAAATTCAGGGATGTTTATTAAACGGACATTCATGCATATATATGCATCAGGAAAAATTGTGATGGGATCTCTCACCTGTGTTTGGTCAGAATCAATTTAAAATTTTGATATATTTCATTAGTCAGTGTTTATGAAAAAAGTTTAAATATCTTTAAAATTTATTGCTCTGTCTTCAAAATTATTTTTTTAGGTGTTCTTAATCAAAATCAGAATCTCATGGGCATAAATAACTTCACAAGTTAATATTTTCTCCTAAAAATGAATATAATGCTTTCATTTTTTCTGTAAATTCTGGAATAAGAAGATGGATTATTTAATTAAAAATTTCCCAAAAAAGGGAGATTTATATACATACAACTTTATTTTATGTTATTTACATATCTAACACTCAAAATAAACAAATTTGGGTTTATGGAATGAAATGTTAAAGTTTATAGGATGATATAAATGGTAGAAATGAATTATAGGAGTCATATATTTGATATTAAAGTTGTGTATGGGTGGTAGACATGTAATATTAATGTTTTGGATGTTTGATATGTAAATAGCATAAAAAAGAATATTTAATCAAAATTTATTCTTGACATATCTAAATGGGACATCCAAAGAACTATTTCTCATGAATATGGGAGTTTAGTACATGAAATATTTGAACTATACTTTTGACTTTTGAGGCTTAAAATATATGAGTTCTTTTCCCATACAACTGAGAAGATACAGAAAATTATTAATTCTGAATAATTCATACATGTGTATTATACGAGTATAATGAGGAACTATTGCTATGGTTAGTCGTATGATCATACTGCATGACAACCAATGCTTCCCACACCCACAAAATCAACACATTTTCAAGTTATGCAAGAGGAGCTTTTTATTGAAAATGTGTTAAATTAATGGCTAAGAATATACCGTTTATGATAGAAATGCATCAAATTATGATTGAGTTTTTTTTTGCACTGTATGTTGTGAGGATTTGCTTGTTTCTCAACATTTATTGTATATTTTTCTACTGCGGTTGCTCATGCCACTGTTTGTTGTTGCATGCTGTATTGTTTTTTATAATAGTTTCTGTGGAAGCTGTGATCTATATCTTTTCCATCTAAAAATTATACATCCATGAATTCTTGTGATGCCAACTTCTTCTTTAGTATTCTTTGCTAGTTTCTTCTGACCCTTTATTTCAAAATGTTTCACTGATGGTATTCTTTCACCTTAATTTTAGCTAGATGAGGCTGCACCAATTCTTGCCAGACTGAATCAACCTATTGTGATTGCTAAACTAGATGCTGACAAGTATCGGAAGCTTGCTTCAAGACATGAAATTGAGTTTGTTCTAGACCCTCTTATTAGTTTCCTCCATTTCTGAATTCAGAGTATACAAACTTTTGTTTCTGGTAGTTATGTGCAATGTAGTATCTTCCTATGCTTTATATTATTTACACTATAACATTTAATTTCAATTGACTTCTTGTATTTAGTTGATTGGAAAAAATTTTAAATGTCAATAAGGTATCCTGAAATTTCAAACTTTTTCAACTTCATATGTCATTCTACACCGTATAGATCTTCATGATCAAACGATGAAAAAAAAAATGTCGTTCTACACCGACTTTAGTCATACTTCATTTTCTGTTGCAGTGGCTTTCCCACACTAAAGCTCTTTGTGCATGGTGTTTCGATTGAATATAAAGGCCCTAGAAAAGCAGAGCTGCTTGTGCAATTTCTTAAAAAATATGTAGCACCTGATGTTTCTGTTCTCGAGTCAGCTTCTGCTGTACATAGCTTTGTTGACGAAGCTGGAAAGCATTTCCCTATATTTATTGGCTTTGGCTTGGATGAATCCTTACTTTCTGAGTATGGCAGAAGATACAAGAAAAAGTCTTGGTTTGCAGTAGCTAAAGATTTTTCAGAGAAAATAATGGTAGAATATGATTTCGAAAAAAGTCCTGCATTGGTAGCCATTCATCCCAATTACAATCAACAAAATGTTTTCTATGGCCCTTTTGAAGGTGAGATAAATCCTGAATGGAGTTTATGATTATTTTATTTTCTATCGTGGCAATCATTTTCAGTATTAGTTTTAATTGGTGTAAGATATATTAATGTTGGATGTTAAGTAAGTATAAAGAGTGACTTGGCATGTTCAACATATATCTATTTTGATACAAGAACGCTTTTTATGTCATGCAGCCCACCTTAGCCTCTTGGTTAGACTTCCAACCAACAGATATTGATCGGAAGCTTAGGATTCTAGCCAAGAGATCTTTGGTCTATGTTGCACCGATACGGATACGGCGACACGGATATGACACGATACGGATACGGGATACGCCAATTCTTAAAAATACAGGATACGGATACGGCGCGGACACGACATTATAATTTATAAATCATACATAAAAATTAAGAAAACAATCAAAGCATAATATTTGAAATTACAAAAAAAAAATGACAACGACATCATTTGTAGCCTTGTAGCTTATAATATCAAGATATAAGTAAGCATTAAATGTCTAGTACAACAAGAAAAGCATAAACATAAATTATCTAGCACATGAAGTTTCAACTTTTCAATAGAAGGAATGATATATCTTCTTCATTGGTTTGTCTTTGAATTTATATATCATCTCCAATAAATATCATAGTTTCTAATTCAGGCTCATCAATTAGTAATTTTTAATATTTTCATATCATCAAGAGACTCAAATCCATCTCGGAAATGAAAGAATCTTGCTCGCAACCGCGGAAGTAAATATGAGTCTTTTTTCGGATTTCTTTTTGTTTTTCAACGGACACTCGTATCGGATACGCGTGTCCTTTTGAAATTAAATAGTATTTTAATTGGATACGGCTTTGGCGTATCCGACACGTATCGGTGGAGTATCGGAGGTGTATCCGTGTATCGGTGTATCGGATACAGCACGCCTTCATAAATAGGTGTATCGGTGCGACATAAGTCTTTGGTTCAAGGCGTTGTATATGCGGCATGTGAATTTGTGATCAAATTCATCCTTAATTAATATTAATGTGACAACATGGATCAAACAACCCTAGTCATTGAAAGAATATTAATTGGCATTATATAATATTATGATTATTGTTCATGCAACGTAGATGCAATGTAAAACATGATAGACAAAGTTTTAGGACTATTTGAAATTTAGGGGAGTTTTGAATATAATGTTAAATAAATACATGTATTTTAGAAAGCAATAAGTTGTTTGGTTGGATAAAGTGTAAGATTTTTTTTTCTATGATGCATTACAAATACAAGTATTTTAGAAATATTGCAGGCAACAATGGCATGAAGCAGCAATTAACAAGTGGTGATAAAAAGCAGTGACGGCGGTGGATGATGGCATCAAGTGGTGATTGCGATTGACAATAGTGTTGAGGGGTGGCCGGTAATGGGTAGTTGTGACGGGTGGAAGTTGTATGTGCGGAAGGGGAAATGATATATTTGAAAATTGCTAAATTTTGGCAATTTTGGATACACCACAAGAACTAAGTGATGAATTTTGAATACATCAACAAATTATTTTAAATTTATTTTTTATTAAACCAAACACCTAAAATTTCAAAATCCTTACATTTTTTTCTATTCTACCCTTAAAATACTACAAACCAAACAACCCCTTTAGTGGCCTAAGACTATCTAAATGAACGCTGTGTTTTCTCAGGAACTGCTCCTGTTTTATGACCACCAATTTGTGGACAAACGTTTTTTTAACATTTTTTCTGCAAATAAACTCTATGCTCTTTAACCTTTGTAGTATTAATGTACTATTTAGTCATGTTTTCCTTTATTTAGTCTTTATTTTAACTGTTCATAACGCTACTCTCAGTGAAAAGCATTACTATAAGAATCACCTTTAAATTTTCAGGACATTTCTTAGATGATTTTGTTCGTCAAAATCAATTGCCACTCGTTGTTCCCATCAATTATGAAACACTTAAGCTGTTGAACAGTGATGATAGGAAAATTGTTCTTACAATTGTGAACGATGAGTTGGATGGTAAATCACGGGAGCTATTTAAGATTTTGAGATCTGCTGCAACTACCAATCGTGATTTGGTTTTTGGTTTTATTGGAGTCAAACAGTGGGAAGACTTTGCGAACTCATTTGATGCTAACAGAAATACAAAGCTTCCAATGATACTTGTTTGGGATGGCAATGATGAATATGAATTGGTAAGTGAACTTTTTATTCCAGTAGAATCTTATTATTCTGCATTACTAACTTAAGCAACATGCTTCTTTGAATGAATGTTTATGCGGTAAAAAATGTTTTTTGTTTCTCTAACTTTTAGCACATTCTAGACTAAAACTTTAATATGATAAAATTTTTTGTCCATCTATGGGTTGCAATACACTGGTTATCTTGCCTTTGTTCTTATTAAACCGATAGGAAGTGTTATATTGTAGCAAAAAGTGAGTGGTAAGGGGCGTTTCTTTTAAATATAACGGGCCAATGCTAAGAACTCTTCATAAGTAAAAATTTATTGGGTGAAAATTTCGGGGGCGGATCCAATTTCTTTTTTTAGGATGGGCAAAATAATAATAATAATAATATTAAATTAAAATAATAATAATAAAATAAAATAATAGCATAAAATAGTAATAATAATAAAATAAATTTTTAAAAAAAATTTAATCAATATAATGCTATCAAATTTATAAAAGGAAATTTTTATCATTTATCTTCAAATTTAATATGATTTTAGTAATAATATAAGTTGGAATATAATCATATATGTTATGCTGAAGCTAGACCCTAACTTAGAAAAAAATAATAATAAATGAGCTTAATGTTATCTAACTTTAGAAAAAAAAGGGATAATTAAACCATCTAGTATGCATAATATTTAATAGATTTAAGAATCGCTCCCTCACAAATCATAAATCAATAAAAAATAATTGCATCAAGAAGATTGTTGAATAGGTCTTGAGAGTGTATTTTAAATCATTAGGGAACTAGGCATTTGAATGCTGTAGAAAATATAATAATAATAAAAGAACTTATTTTTTATTGTGAGTTAAGTTTGAATGTTAGAGACTTTAGTAGATTGGATATGTAACTGGAAAAATTTACTCTTCACCTAAAAAAAGAAACAGTAGATGATGTCCTAGTAAAAAAATTGAGATAAAATTAGTATGCAATGAAGTTGATAACCACCATAATAACAGAAATGAGTGGAGAAAGGTTCATAAAGTTGAGCCCAAGTAATTTTAACCATACACAGCTTTTCTTCAGAAGAATCTTCGGATGCTTAAATGGTAGGAGTGGAGGATACAGAAACTAGACGCAGTCTAGTGGTCTAGCCATGACTCAAGAGGCATGCATCAAAAACTGGAAATGAGGAGTCCTTCCTAAATTTGAATTTTCAAGAAATTAAAAGAGAAAAGGTACCTATGGGCATATAAATGGATTAGTTAAAGAATTATAAATATCAATTATGTTAAGATTGTGGAAGTTGTTTGCTGTCTTATTGTGCAAGTTATTAGATTACTAGTATCGAAATTTGACTAAGGCTTCGGCTTTCTTGCTGCTTCTTAAAGCAGTTTTTTAGTATAAAAATTAAAAATTTTGTACTGAAAAGTTGTTTTAAGAAGTAGTAAGAAAGCCGTCCCAAACGAAACATAAGAGTAAGAAAATCTTTGTTATAAACTGAAAAGAAACTTTTACTTATTGAGTTGTATAAATTGATTGAAAGCATTAGGACAAATAATTATTCCTTAGCATCAGCAATTAACCACACTCATAATTGTTTTCGACTTATACCTTTTTTTAGGTGGAAGGTTTGGAGAGCCTGAACAGTTTGGAGGATCAAGAATCTCAGATTATCCAGTTTCTTAAAGGTTACAGGGAGGGAAGAACGATTAAAAAGGAAGTCAGTGGCCCTTCTTTTCTAGGCTTCATAAACTCTCTTTTTGGCATAAAAACTGTTTGCCTGTTTGTCTTTGCGGTAGCTTTTGTGATTGGTATGCGTAAATTGGCAAAACGAGGGGACGATGAGCTTCACAGAAGACAAACTCAAACAGAGGCTGAAGATCTGAACAGGCAGGATTACCAGCCTGGAGATAAGGAAGAGTGAATTAAGAACCTGTTCTGCTGATGAAGAAGCTGTACAATTACTGCTATCAAGAAATCATTTATATCCTGATGCGTTTTGCTTCAGAATTGTCTTCAAAATTCTTGGATTTACACTACTAGCACCATTCATGACTCAAAATAGGTTAGAATATCCTTCCGTAATTTTTTTTTTTCTATTTTTTGGAAGAGATTTTATTAATGTTTCAGAAGAACTAACTGTACCTTTCATGTTTACTGGAAAGATTTAGCACGCCATTATCATTTGTTGAGAATGTTCTTGTTTTATTATTAGCAGCAATCTTTTTCTTTATTAGATTTAAATGGAAAATTGACTCTTTAAGAGAACGCAATGAAGAAAAAAGATTTATGTAGCCGACTTTACTACAAGAGATAAAAGATTTGATGTTGCTGTTATTATTCATATGGTGATCAAATAGTTAGTCATTCCAAATTAAATCTCATTTGTTTTGCTTCATATTATTATTATATTTTTATGAATGAAATAACAAAAATGCCTTCCAATATGTGGTAATTATGAACCAAATTTGAAATGTTTGATAATTCTTAAATTTAAATCAATTAATAATTGAGTTGGTTTACTTCTGCATTGAGCATGACCCATTTAATTTAGTCATTCTAAATTTTTAGCGTTAAAATTTTTGTTCAAACAATTATAAGAAAGTTATATTAAATGTAATCTTAATTTATAATCAACTTGACATAAAATTCAAAATAAATTATTATTTTGAATTAAATTTTACATGAGCCAAAATTGAATTTTTATTATTTTATTAATTTGTTAGATTGAAATTAAAAATACATATTTTTATAAAAAATAGTACTTTTATTTAAATCTTCATTTTTTTTTTAAATTAATTCAAAATCAGAAAATCATCCTACAAATTCTAGAAAAAAAAATCAAAATTCCTCATCCAAAAGTTTATAATTAATCTCTTCAAGCGGATTAGAATTCATTTTAAGATATGCAATTCATAAAAAAGTTATCTCATTTTCGTACCAAAATATTTTTTTTTTATTTGAGAGCATTTTGATCATATGGTCTATGAAAGGGGTAAATGAATTCATATCATTTGACGATAATTTGAGAAAGCAAATGCTTCAAAATTAGTGCCATTGGGCATTTGAATCAAATGAATGCAACTCAAATTTCATTTGCAATAAATTTCTTCCTGCTTTCTAAAATAAATTTTTAATACAAAAATTTCATAAATTATAAACTTCTGTAAAAGCATTAAGAAAGTTATTCCAAACTTTGAGATCATGCTCATTTCCTTTAGAGAGATGTAATGATTAATATATGACACAATATTAAGATTTTATTTGAGACCGTTTTCTTACTGTGTTATAAAATCAATATTTAATACAATAAAAATTTTGTATTAAAAAACAGTGAGAAAACTGCCCAAATAAAACTTAAATTTGATGTTAAAGAATACATCTTCCATCAAATATCATAAGTGGAGCTTAAATTTTCCTCAAATTAGGGTCAAAATCAAATATCAAAATTTGAATAATTTTAATTTTGAATTTTGTTAACAGCCCCAATAAAAAGAATTGCTCTGCGAAAAAGCCCTCAAGACCTCAACAAAATCTTATAAATAAACAAGCTGAGGTCCGCCATTATCAAAGGTGGTGAAGCAATGTAGAAAAAAAGCTAGAGGAGTGGCTTCGAACGAAGAGTGCGTTGAATCTCAAGAACCTGTTGCTGTTGCTCTGAAGGCAATGAGCTAAGCTGTTCGGGTGTCAAACTCATCAGCTGTTTCAGAAGAGCTGTCTCCTCTTCAGCTGAAAGCTGAATCACATAAATAATATTCAGTTTATACGATGTAAGAAATAAATACATGATCAAAAATGGAAATTTCAAACACAAATGATTTCTGTTCTCTATTTACAGCAGCATAGAATATAGCGCCATGTCTCAAACCGGGCAAATTATTCTCTGCGGACACCGAACGCCGTCCAGAGCTCAATAAAAATGCGCCACGTCACCCCCTACTCGGTACGCGGCTCGGTACTGGATAACGTGGGTGCACTTGATTTGCCTCTGAATGGTAAGCTGTGTACGGTGTCTGTCCGCACAGAATAATCTCTCCTCAAACCGAGCAGGAGGCTGATTGTTTGGTCATTATTATGAAATCATCATTACTTTTTTCTTTCTTTTCCATGTTGCTTCTGAATTTAGACTCAGAGACAAGAAGGTATGCTGATACTTTTCATTTTGAAGCTCAGGCATTCTATATCAAGCAAGAATATAACAAGGCAAACAATGGAAAGCCAACGACTTTTTGTTTTTCCCAGTACAGGGAATGGACATAACAGAAGCAGCAGTCCATCTGTACAGGAAAAGCTTAATTACTAGTTTACTAAGCTCCGGAAACAAGTGTCTAGAGAAGCTTATTTACATCCACTTGCTCCCTCTGTCACTCAAGCCAACTCGAGCCCATTTCAAGACTTGAGTACCAGGGTGTCTTCTCGAGAAAACATAACTAAATCTGACCCGTTTACAAAATCGGGTCAGATTTTGGTTGACTCATTTGGACCCGGGTCAGGTCAGATTAGACCCCGACCAATTGACCCATTTTGACACCCCTAACTCAAAACATACAATTTTCTTCTATTCTGTGTGAAAGAAGTCAGTAAAATATATCATATTATTAAGTGACATAATATAAGAACTGATATATAATAATAATAATAATTGTTATTATAAAAAATGACCCAACTCCAACAACATGCAAAGTTGCTCAACTGCCTCAACAGCTCTTACACCTATAAGAAGCAGCCCCTACATACACCTCTCCACTACACCTCGACCTCCACATGCAAGCCAGCAACTGTCCCATCTTCGGTAGAAAGTTGCACGCAACCGGCCCCTTACAAGTTCTCCTAGGTGTACCGGCAGCTGGTATGAGGTCTAGTGTACTCCAAGATCCAGTAACTTGTGATTCACCAAGAACTTTAGTTAAACACCTCGCCTAGAGGCTGCCTTCGAGAGACTATCCCAACCCGGGACTCCCGCTACGAAGAGGGTCGTAGCCGGGCGAAAGATTTTTGTGGTGACCACTAACACCACCGCCTTGCCAAGAGAATGTTGACCAACGGACAGGGAGCCAAAACCTAAGCCGAATCCCAGAAAACCAGGAAGAAAATCTACATACCTCGTATATGATGGCTTAGTGGACTTCTCTGTCAAATCTCTGAAATCCCGCTCATCTCGAACTACCTAACCCGTAAATCCCACTGCGATCGCGTCGCTTCCCGTAAATCCTTCGGAGAGTCTCGATTCTACCTCTGCCTTCGCCTTTAAAACACAAATGAAACAAAGCCTTCAGGTCTTCTTCCATTCGCTGCCTATTCGAGTTTCTGTCGCAAGCCCTATCCAATCGAAGCAATAGCCGAACTCCTCCAGATCCCGTCTCCTCCCTCCGTCTCTGTCCGATCCACTGTAATCACAAACCAAATCACCAAACCCAACCCTCAGCCGACGCTAGAGCCACTCCAGATCGAAGCCGACCCCGACTTCCGATCTCCTTCTCCATCTCGCCGCTTCTTCTCATCCCGAACTCCACATCTGTCGTCGCCTACCCCTACCTGTTCCGAACCCGTCGCTTCTCCTCCACCTCTTCCGAACCCCATGGAGAGAGAGATAGAGATAGAGAGAGAGAGAGAAAGAGAGAGAGAGAGAGAGAGAGAGAGAGAGAGATAGAGAGAGAGAGAGAGAGAGAGAGTTTTCTTCCTACCTAGCCGAGCTTCACGCATACTCCATCTCCTCTCATAGCTGCCCGATCCCTTCTCATATACCTGTTATCTATCTCGATCCAAGCTAGACCCAACCCGCCTCCTATAAAACAAAACCAAGCCCAAATCTCGTTCCTCTTATCAACCATTAAAAAAGCGGACGACGAGGCGTCCGCATTAAGTCGCACCTCAAGTCAAGGCGGAAGTCATGCGTATCGGGGCTTACACCTCGAACCATCCAGCGAAGCTTACGATTTTTTCGCACGAGGAGTACGCATAAGAGCGTAACGCCTTGAGGCAGTACAAGGCAGCGCTTCAAAATTTTTTCTTCGGTATATATGTAAATACGATGCAGCCGATTCGTGTTCGCGTATTCGCGTATAGGATTAGGGCTTCATGTAAGAATTGAAAGGCGAACTGGAGGCGAAGCCGTGAGGGAAAGAGATGAAGCCGTGAGGGAAAGAGACGAAGCCGTGAGTGCAGGAGACGAAGTCGGAAGGAGACGACGCAGGAAACAAAGCCGAAAGCAATAACGATTTCGAAAGCAGGAAACGAAGCCGAAGTTGTGAGTGCAGGAAACGTTCAGGCCTCGATTAGGTCGGAAGAGCAGGTAAGCGGTGTTGTGGGCCTTGACTTTGACGTGCAGTAACGAAAGCTTGAACAACTCCTGATTCGGCTTTCTTTCATTCGTCCGCTCAGTACATGCTCGGTACTGCTAGGTTCGCTAGGTACTGCTCGGTACCGAGCAAGTATATGCTCGGTACTGAGCGGTACATGCTTGGTACCACTAGGTACATGCTGCTCGATACCGACCGGTACATGCTCGGTACCGTTAGGTACATGCTCGATACCGCTCGGTATCTTTCCATACAAGCAACTTACAAACTTTAAAAACAAGCAGAATTTCAAAATTACTCTTACAATAAAATTTTGTTCCGCCAGGGGCAGCGCTCCCTTGGACCCCCGGCAGACCAACACTTACATGCTGCTACGTACTATTTAAACCCCCAATTTCATTATGATAAGGATTTTCATGTTGACAAAGATGTGAAAACTGGTTTGTATCCATGTATGGACAGACTCATTTCTGAAGACTACCTCAAAGTGAATGATCAACTTGAGAATTTTCATTTGAAGAAGGGAATGTTTGGATTTAAAGCAGCATAAACATGCTACAAAACACGATCTTCTTGTATGTTTATAGTTTGTGTATTTATAATTTTAATGTTAATATTTATGTTCAAGTCTTCTACTTCAGCTAATATTCATAAAATACTATGTTTGTCTTCATGTAGAACGTTGGTGGGCTCAGTTTGGAGATGATGTTCCTGAATTGAAAGCTTTTGCAGTTAAAGTTCTTAGCCTGACGTGTTCGGCTTCTGCATGCAAGCGTAATTAGAGGCAGATCAAATGAAAAAATTAGTTTATATTATGTTTAACAAAAAATTGAAAGATACACATCGCAAATTGCATAATCAAGGAAATATTGATAATGAAATTGACCATTTGCTTGTTGACAAGTTACAATCTAATGATGAATGGATTACTCATAAGAATATTGATGTTTGTTCGAACCCCGCCAGGGGGCAGCGCCCCTTGGACCCCCGGCAGATCGGTATATTGTTGTATTCATGTTGTTTTATTATTGGTAGTACAAATAATTGTTAAAACAAATCTTCAAATTCGTAGTTGACATAATATTTTGTTATTTTTTTTCATTATTTAGAATTTTAAATTAATTTATTTTAATCATTTTGAGGCTTACGCGTCGATCCGCCTCGATTCCCGATTTCGCCTTTTAAAACCTTGGTTTAAATTATGGTATTTAGGTCGGAGTCATACTAGAAATTGTTTATATATGATTTGTGATCGAGATCAAATCAACTTATCTAATTATTTTCATTCTTTGTGCCAATTTCTTTGATGTGTTTTCATGGGGCAGCGCCCCCTTGGATAAAACAGGTCGAATCCCGCCAGGGGGTAGCGCCCCCTTGGACCCCTGACAGACTGGTATATTATTGTATTCATGTTGTTTTATTATTGGTAGTACAAATAATTGTTAATTTTTTTTTTCAAATTCATAGTTGACATAATATTTTGTTATTTCTTGTCATTATTTATAATTTTTAATTAATTTATTTTAATCATTTTGAGGCTTACGCCTCGATCCGCCTCGAGGCTTACGCCTCGCCTCGATTCCCGATTTCGTCTTTTAAAACCTTGGTTTAAACTATGATATTCATGTCGGAGTCATACTAGAAATTGTTTATATATGATTTGTGATCGAGATCAAACCCCTATGTGTTCACGTAGCGTAGTAGGGAGGGAAACCGGCGCAGCGCTTGCGACGCCTTAAAAATCCATCTTCAATGCTAGCGATGAGGCGACAAACCCCCTACGTGCTCACGTAGCGTAGTAGGGAGGAAAACCGGCGCGACACTTGCGGCGAGGGGGATAAAAAAAATTAATATTTAATAAGTACCCCCGAACGCTCATGTAATGCAGAGGGGGGAAAGAAAATTTTGTTTTTCTTAAAATGTGTTCAAAACCCTTAAACGCTCATGTAGCGGGCAGGGATAAAATTTTTTTTTGCAACCGCAGCACTGAAGCACTCACGTAGCTTCGAGGGGAAGGTTGCCTCTTAGTTATTCCCCTAAACAGGGGAGGCGCCGGGAGGCTGCCAAAATTTTGTCTGAAATAAGACAAGGACTTGAAACAAAATGGAACTTTATTTGGACATTGATTTGGACATCATTTGAAATAACTTCAACTTGAATGCAAACAAAACAAAAGAGTAACTCGAACTCAAGTGAACTTTTGAACATAGACTTGAACTTGCAACCAAATTTGTGGACATTTGACTACAAAAAACTCGATTTGAAGTCAGATTTGGATCGAACTTGCACAATGAATGTGAAATTGAAACTAAGCATAACTCAAATGAATTAAATCCAACAAAATACATTAAGAACTTGAATAGAGCAAGGACTCAAAGTTGATTTGAGCACAAGCAAAAGAACTTGTAAGCTTGGACTTATAAGTTTGGACTTAATT